AATTCCTAATCTAAATCCTAATTGCAAAAAGAAATTTCGAACGAAGCAAATTCCGAGAGCCCACGAAGGCTCGACCTAAGTTGAAAATTCAAAAAGATTTTCCTGTGCAATGACCACGCCAAAATTCCTATTTCCCACAGCAGAACAAGAAAAAGCTATGGGGTTGCGAATGGGGTGTTTGGGGTCGGAACCACTGTGTGTGACCAGCCGTGTGCACATTTTTTTAGGAGTTTTACGGTTTTGGTACCCAGTGTGAGCGTGCCCTGAGCACGGCCTGAGCTAGCCTCTTGGGTGAAAGCAAAGCAAAACCAACAAGCCCAGGACATACTCACACTAGCACGTATTTCTGCAAATTTTACGTACGTGAATTTGCGTTTATATGGCACCTGCAGGTCACAATGCTCAACCTTTTGTTGCCCGAAGCAGAAAGGACAGGGTCGCGACCTCGCCTTGAGATGCGAAAATGCGTTGTGTGCAGTCAGACTGCACAATGCACTTTTTTCTTTTTTTTTTCGCTTCCAGAAAGCAGTAGAGGAAAAAGAAATGCGATTTTGCGGGGACCTCTGCAGGTCCTGGAGGTCCCCACAAAATATGGAAGTCCAGGGACCATGTCCCACTTCTCGAGGTTTTGTTCTGGTTTCGAATATACATGGCTCCTTGCCATCCGATCTGAAAATCTCACGGCCCTAGTGTGACCACGTTGGAAAATACACGGAACGTAAACAAAACCCCCGCTAGTGGGACACGGCCCCAGGGCTGTCCAGGCCGCTGACATGCACTTGCCCTTATGTGTGAAAACTCAAAAAACGTGTCTGGTGTGACCCGGAAAACCACATAAAATTTGTGATTTTGCAAAAATATGTGGTAGTGTGAGTTGGTGCACCAATGAACTGTCGAATTACAGACAGTGTTCGATACCTGATGAATATTTTTATTTACAGAAAACTACGGCGCAGTCAGGGTTACAGTTTGTAATTGCATTCGAAACTGCGTTTTAGCAGTTTAGTCAGGGCCCGAGTTTCAATTGCAGTTTAGTCAGGGCCCTAGTTTGTAATTGCATTTGAGACTTTGGCTTGCTTTTTCTAGCAGTTTAGTCAGGCACATGGCCGTTTCTTTCTTTCCTGTGTCTTTTTTTTTTTTATTATTTTTTTTAATTATTTTATCCTTTTTTTTTGTCTTTTTTTTCGGTCGCTCGCAGCGGTCCGTTTCTTTCTTTTTCATTT